TGGCTGTCCCAGACTCCTGCAGGCACTGCTGCTGCCTACTGACCAGCCAGACTTCTTTCTTGAATCCATGTCTGACTCTGCCCCCCTCACATGTCTCTATGAACAGGTGTGGGAGGCGGTGGACAGTAGGAGCGCCAAGTGGGCCCTTGCACTTCCTGCAGACCTTCTATACTGTAGTCTGCAGGAAGCTAACATCAGACATTTTAGACCTCAGACAGCAATGTGCCTCAAATGGCGGAACTAATGTAGTGTGCCCTTGTGCCAGATATTTTTTGGGACCACCCTCTAGCGCAAGCATAGCCAAAAGGTAGATCCCCATCTGTCGCACAACTACCATACTGCTATAGCAGTTGGGGTTCTACCATTTGCCAATCCTTGCAGGGTTGTATTTGTGAGCAGCATTTGCGTGTTTGAATGTAATCTTTTTTTTGTATGGAGTGTTTGTGTGTGCATGTAGGGGTCTATTTGTATGTATTGTTGCCATTAGAATGCAGTGGTATATTTCTATGTAATGTTTGTGTTTGAATGCAGGGCTGTGTTTGTATGTAGTGTTGGCTCTTAAATGCAGTTGTATGTTTGTGTGTAGTGTTGGTGTTTGAATGAACGGATGTGTTTGTACTACTTTTGGCATTTTAAAAATGGGTGTGTTTGTAATATTTCCATTTAAATGCAGAGGTGTGTTTGTATGTAGTGATGGCTTTTAAATGAGAGTGTACATTTGTGTGTAGTTTTGGTGTTTGAATGAAGGGGTGTGTTTGTATATAATTTTGGCATTTGACTGCAGGAGTGTGCTTTTATGTCATGCTTGTGTTTGTTTGCAAGAGTGAGTTTGCATGTAGTGTTGGCATTTGATTGCTGGCATGTAAGCGCATATAAACAAATGGTGTCAAAAACATACAAATTTGTACAGATACACATACACATATACACACACTGACACAAACATATTTACATAGCAATACACATTGACCCACAGATACACACATAGATAAAATAATACATACATAGATACACAATGACGCATACAGACATAAACAGATACACACATATAAACACATACACACTCATACACTGTCATATACTTACACAGATACACACACTGACATATTGACACACAGAAGCACTGACCAGACAAACACTCAGACATGCTCATATGCACACACTGACACTAATACACACATAGATAAACAAACACACTGACACATTGACACACACAGATACACACATATAAATACACTGACACACACATATATAAGCACACTGACACACGCACACACACACAGACAGATACACACGTATAAACACACTTTGAAACACACACTCACACAGGTACACACATATAGACACACTGACACACACACACAGATACACACATATAAACACATACACATATAAACACATACACATATAAACACACAGATACACACTAACATACACAGATACACAAACATCATAATGTCATTTTAATCCACATTTCTATTAACATACCTTTTATATGCAGGCTTCCCAGAGTCCTTCATCTGTGTCCCGCGCAGTGCTCTGTTGGTATATGACTGTCACTTCCTCCCATGCTAAGGACCCAGTCGCGCTGCTAGAGGGCCGTGGCGCCCGACTGGGTCCCTGTTCAGCAATGCCCACTGGGTGGCCCATGCACTTAGCCCAAGCATGCAGTCCATCGAGCTCTAGAAAGGCTCGGCTGGAAGTGGCATCCCGGCTGGCACCATGGCATTCCACTGCCCCCTGACTCGTGCTTTGCCTTCTGCTTCTGTGCTTAGGCAACTGCAGCATGTGGGACTAGGTGCGCCACTCTGGTGACGCATAGAGTAAAGAAGAGGCAGTGGCCTGGCGCCCCCTTTTCCAATGCACCCTAGACGACCGCCTATCCCGCCTATAGGAAGCGCCGGCCCTGCTGGTACTAGTTTGGAATATGATAGACAACAACCATATACATGGATTTAATTGAACAATGACATGAAGAAA